TGGTGGTATATGCCTTTAATTGCAGCACTTGGGAGGGAGGCAAAGAGACAGATCTCTGTGAGTTTGAAGCCAGCCTGGGCTACAAAGCGAGTTTCAGGCCAGCCAGGGCTACACAGTGAGACCCTCTCTCAAAACAGACAGACAGACAGACAGTTGGGTGTGGTGATGCACAAAGGTGATCTCGGCACGATGAATACCACCAGTTCAAGACCAACCTGGCTACACATATGAAACCCCGTCTCAAAATAACAAAGAGGGAAAAAGTATTGACCTAAATGTAGGACAATTTGCTATAAAATTTTAATAATACCTGCTGAATGCTTATAATGCAGCAGGTCCTAACCTAAGCAATTGCAGAGTCAGTCATTTACTATTCAAGGTTGCTCTCTGAAGTAGATTTACTATTTCCATACACTGTGGAGAAACTTGAAGCTTAGATCGGCAACTTGCTCAAAGTCACATTAACTAGTAAATAGCTGGAATAGGACCTCCTGCTTTAGAGCCCATACCTTTCTATTATAATACCTCTCAAAGAAAAAAAATCAAAATACAAAATTATAACTATAAAACAGACTGATGACTCTATTCACTCTCCTTTTGAGCAAATGACTATTTTTAAAGGGCCAATTTAGCTACAGTTTCAAGGAAGAGATAATTCTCAATTTTTAAAATCAGTATTAGGACACCAAGAGATGGGAGGCTGCCTGACTCTTTTAAGGAAGCTGAGGGTACAACTGGGTGGCAGAGAATATGCTTAACACGTACAAAGTTCTTGGTTCAATATGAAGAAACAAAAACAAAAGGCAGGCAATGAGTGTTTTGGATTAGAAGACTCAATATCACAAAGATGTCAGATTTCCCAAAACTAATCTACAGACTTAATATAATCGCAAACAAATTTTTCACTGGGTGTGCTAAAAACTGAAATTCCCAGGCTCATCATTTTAGAGGTCATATGGAACAGTGAGTCAAGAGCAGCCAAAGGCATAATAAAGAGAATCATATGACACAAGGAGAAAAAAGCAAAAACTTACCAGTGGTGATATAGCACATGACTGGAATCCACTTTGGAGGCTGAGGCAGGAGGATCACAAGTCTTTGAGGAAAGCCGAGCTTACCCAGTAAGACTTTAAAAAGGGGTGGCCCTTTAAAAAGGGCCTGATGTGGTGTTGCACACCTTCAACCCCAGCATTCAAGGAGCCAAAGACACCATCTCTATGGGTCTGAACCAGACTGGTCTACATAGTGAGCTCCAGGCCAGCCAGGGCTACGTAGTGAGGCCTGTCTCAATAAAATAAAATAGCGCTTTGATTTGTAACAAAAACAAAACATTTTAATGGGGGAAGGGATGATACCAGACCAACCACATAGCCATATGGGGAAAACATGGCAGGCAGATCAATGGTCAAATGAAGCTTTCAGAGAAAAGTCTTTGTGATTTTTAGGGAATGCAAATATTTCCTCGGAGCATTGACCATAAAAGAAAAAAAGATCATGTGGATTTTAAGGAATCTAGGAGAGTCTGCTCTTTCAAAGAAGCTCTTGAGTGTGCAGAGGCTGCCACTGAGACGACTCAGTGAGCAAAGGTACTTGCTGCCAAGTCTGAGGGTCTGAGTTTGATTCTGAGGGCCCACGTGGTGGAAGTAGAGAATCAACTCTGGCGAGCTGTCTTCCGACCTCCATGCGTGCATACAGACACACACAGAAACGGAATAAATTTTATTTCAAAAAATGGGCAGAAGCCACATACAGCCTAAGGGATGAGAGGTAGATACACAATTAAGGACTTGTAGTATATATATATAAATATATATATATATATTATATATATTTTTTTCTCCCCTTTAATAGTAAGAGAGAACCAATGGAAAACACACTGGCCATTAAACATATCATCAGGCATCTTAAGTTCCATATCCAAGATACAGAAAACCACACAGAAATACCAATACACATCTACCAGACTGATACAATGTCTGAAAGGGTGCCGGTAAACGATGTGGCGCAATGAGACCTCTTAACCACTGCTGACAGGAGTTTGGATAACTGTTATGGAATGATGTTTGACAATATCTATGTAAGACAAATATATGTATCTTCTATAATCCAGAATCTCCACTTCTAAGTATATGCCCAACAGAAACATGCTTAACAAAAACACACACTGAAAGATTCTAACACTATTTACAGTAATTTCAAAGCAGAAACTACCTAAAACACATCCTCAGAAGACCTGATTAAAAGAGCCACATAGTCACACGAAATACTGCGTCAAAATAAAATGCCTAGGTAATCATATAAATGATTCTCACAAAGCCAGAAGGAAAAAAGAGAGAGACAGAAAAAGAGCGTGTAAATGAAGCTTCACGGTGTGTAAACAGTAAGAGCACATGAAACTGACCTAGGCTAGTTATTACTGTTCTGAACAGCCGTTACCTTTGGGGTGGGGAATAGTAACTTAAAAACAGCAGAAAGGAGGCACTGGTATCAGCGATGCTCCATTGATTAGTTGACCATCCATCAATGTGTACACTCTTAGCATGAACACATTCCTTATGTTACTATGTTACGATCAAAAAAGTTAACCAGAAGGCTGGAAAAGTAAGTCTACAGATGGGATAATGGCAAGGCAATAGAAGGATAATTCATGAAGAGGCTGGAGAGATCATGCAGTGGTTAAGAGCACTGATTGTACTTGCAGAGGACCTGGGTTCAATTCCCAGCACTCACATGGTGGGACACAACTGTAACTCTTGTAGGGGATCTCACACCCTCTTCTGGTCTCCAAGAGCACCAAGAACACACATACATGCAGGCAAAATATCCATACACATAAAATATTAAAACATAAAAGGAATGTGCTGCTGAGTAAGACGAAACCAAAAAGAATTCATGAAAATCAACTTTTCAGAAGCTAGGCTGACAGTGTAGCATGCTTATTAAGCATGGGCAAGCCCTGGGTTCAATCCCTAGCACCGAAATCGTAAATACATAATTTTTAAATGGCTGCTAAATCTATAATTGTAAATCTAAGCAATATAATGTTATCATTGTGGGACATGATGGGATACACTATAATCCCAGATACTCAGGAGGCTGAGATGAGAGAGTGGGAAGTTCAAGAACAGCTGGGATTATAAAACCCTTTCTCTCCCTTCCCTCCCCCAAAAGTGGGGAGGGGACAAGATTAACAACAAATTTAAATTTAAAAATATATTCAAAACTCCGTGGTATATTAAATGTTAATTTTTTTTTAAAATCACACATAGTCATATGTTTGAACAGAAAAAAAAAATCAAAAAACTTTTTTTTTTTTTTTTTTGCTTTATCTTTTATAACAAAATGTTTTGCTGTGAGACAGGGTCCCTCATATCTCAGGCTAGTCTCCAACTCACTGAGTAGCTGCTAACTTTGAAGTTCCTACGATGCTCCTATAGCTACCTTTTGAGAGCTAGAATTACAGGCTTATGTACACCACCCTAACAAGTTTATGTGGTGCTGGGTATTGAACCAAGGGACCTGCTGTGCGCTGGGGGCAAGCACTCTACTAATGGAACTCACGCTCAGCTCAACACAATGTTTTGGTTTTCATTAAAAAAAAAAAAATTCTGTCCAGAAATCAAAGAAAGTAGGGTAAAAAAAATTCAGCCACCTACTTTTGCCTCCCTTTTATCCCCCACATTCACTCTGTAGCCATTCCCTCCGTTTTTTTTTATTAGAAATGACTGTCCAAGTCATGATTTTATTAATTTTTCTCTGATTTCCAAAGTGTATGGTTTTGTTTTCTCTATTGAAGTCCTTATACCTAGACCCTTCATTATAGCAAAATAATCATATTTCCCACTTAGATATCATAGCCACATAAAATCATTTTATATGGCAGCTCTCCACACTCCGGCCCCTCAAACTGCACATTAAATATTGTCACCCCACCCCGATCCTTGGCATACTCAAAATCCTTTTCCTGCAGTACATTTTCTCCCATCCATCTTTCTAATTTCATTCATGGTTGACGATTTTTCTAGGGTATCATTTGCTGGGTGTAGTTTTTTTTAAAGTGCTAAGAACAGACAACGGTTTCCAAAATGAGCCTTCCATTGACAGTTAGTACATATGTCAACATTTCACATTCTATACCATGCCTCACTCTCCCATTGTACAGCACGGGGGATTTCTTTTCTCTTTCTTGTCTTAATTTCCTAAAATCTAGTTGGCTGAGGGAAAGTAAGAAGGCATACATATTCAGTACACACATTCCCATTACAGGGTGTGGGTTTTGACCTGTCTGTTGGAAAAAAATGGCATTAAAAACACCAGACTTTATTTTTTTAATTCAAGATGGCAGAGACCTCCTAAAATAGTCCTACACAAAAGCATTCACATCCAGACCAGAGCTTCCATTCAGAACTGGCTACACCTAGCGCAACAGCAAGGACAAAAGAATGGAACCGTAGGTGCTGAGATGCCGGAGCCCTCACCATTGGCCACAGGTCTCACACTCTTTGAACAGACCGTAAACCCAGAGAGGAAGCTGGCACCTGCTGCCGGCATTCCAAAGGCCACGCCTTGATGATGCCTATGATGATGATAACCGGAGGCACTCCTGGATGCAGACCCGCAAAAATCAAGGCTTGAAAGGGAGGAGGTTAAGTAGTAGAGAGAGTACCGGGCACGTTTCGGCCCCGCCCCAGCGAGGCGCAGTCCCGGGCGGTGCAGCCATCGGGCAAGGGTAGAACCGGGCTCGCAAGGGCCGGCCAACAGTGCAAGCTCTGGGCATTCTGGTTGAGCCTGGGGCATCCGCCAGCCCGGACAGGACCCCGCGGGCTACACCTGTCAGGCGGCTGCAGCCAGTAGGCCCCGAGAGAGCGAGGGACTGGTGACCCAGGCCCGCAGGCGCGCGCCGCCCGATCCCTCCCCATCCGAATCGCTTTGCCTCCTCGCGTCTCCTCTCGCCCGTCTTCAACAAAGACGGTCCACGCTCCCCGCCATTTTCTCCTCACCTCAAACACCACCTCTTCGTCAAACTCCGGTGTCATCCTTCTCCGCCATACCACCCGCCTCAGCACGATGGGAAATGAAGGAAGGAGGGCAGGCAGCAACCCGGGCTTCTGCTCCTGCCCACCTCTGGGGGAGCGCCGAAAACTACAACTCCCGGCATGCTTCGCGGCGCACGCCCCCTTCCGAGCTGCTGATTGGAGCAGAGGGTGAGCGTGCCGGCTTGGAGGGGCGGGAGCGGGCGGGTGTTCCTGAGCTCCTATTGGAGAGAGCGATGGTTTTTGTCTGCCTTTTACATCCCGGGACTACCAGGGGGCGCCCGGAGCGCGGATTTTTTTTTTTTTTTTTTTCCCCCTTCGGACTTCAGGAGGGGCGCGCGTCCGCGAAGCGGCTGCGAGCTCGCGGCCCCCGTGCGCGCGCCCCGGCGGTCGTCCCGCAGCGCGGCGGAGCGGCGCTCGTGCTCGTCGTCCCGTCGCCGGCCGCTAGCGCCCCGGGGACGCCGGAGGGTCGCGGGCAGCCGGGGCGTCCGTCCTTTGTGAGGGAGGGTGCGGGACGGAATGTGGGCGCCGCGGAGGAGTTTTCTCTCCTGCTGGAACTCCGGGGCGTGTGGACCGACCGGGAGCCATGGACTGAGGGCGTGAGCGGCGCGGGGCAGTCATGACTTCTGCCGCCGGTAAGTGGCCGCGCTCGCACCGGGCTGGGAAGTGGCTGCGGGCGCCGGCGGGCTCGGGCTCCCGCTGGCTTCCACCTTCCCCTCCGGGTGGCCGCTGCGGGGCTGGCGCCGGTCGCCTGGCGCCGGTCGTGGGGTCTTCCCCCCCCCCCCCCCGCCTCCTCCCCGGGATCTCCGCCTCTTTGAACCCAGGTGAAGCGACGGCGACGCGGCGCTGGCTCCCGGGCTTAGGCGAGGTCGCCTGTGCGCGGTGCGGGACGCGTTGGAGTCGGATGCGGAGGAGTCGGTTATTCTAAACTAGGGCAGTTTTCCAGAGTTGAACTAATTCCGCGGCTAGCCTGGGTTGCTTTTGAAAACCTGGTCTTTATGGAGCGCAACTCTTCGCGTGTGTAAGGAAGTTCAAACGGAGCTGGTCATACCCTGATGTTTTAAGTCCTATTACCTGAGCAATAAAGTGCACTGTTAGATGGCAAAAAGACAAAAAACAACCGATAAGCAACCCCCCCAAACAAACAAAAACCCCACCCCTTTTTTTTCTTTTCTTCACCTTTTCTTAATGTTGTTTTTTCCCTACTCGTACCCCGACAGTGTAAACAAAGCCTTATTTTCTGTCTGCCTCCTTCCCACTCACCCAAATGACAAAGCCTCCGCTTACCTCTGTGTAAATTGAAGCATTTCTGGTCATTGTATTGAGAAACATTCTTAAGGGGCAATTTTTATTTTCCAAATTTTAAGTGCCCAAGTGACGTTGCGGACCTTTTTTATAAGAACGTAGCTTATTTGTAAAATCAGAATTTAATAAGGTATGGAATATTTTTAAAACAACTTTATCCGCATTTGAAGAGACTTCGATGAGGAATTTCGTAGTAAAATAGTTTTAAGGCGTCCCTTCAGTTACGTCTAGAATAAACACTGAAGTATCAGATTAAATTTTCTTTGCTTGCTTTGGCGTTTGTTTAAAATTCCTGCAACTTGAAACTGTCAAAGAGCAACACCAAATGTTCTGATTTGTATTTCTAAAGCCTTGGAATAGTCCTTGCTAGGCATAATCAACTTTCATTAAACAAGCCAGAACTTAGGAGCAGTAAGAAAGGAAGGGGCTGAAGTATTCACGGTAGAAAGTGTAGATCTTCTCTCTTTGATGTTATGTGTATTCATTCATGTGATCATCATGCACAAGAGAGTCATTTACAAACGTTTCTTTCTTTTTTTTTTTTTTAAGAGAGGTTTTCCACATACACTGTGGATTGTTTTTAGCCTAACTTTCTGTGCCTTACCTTCATTCAACTTTATTTAAATTGCTGAATTAGTATAATTAGTTGACATTCAAATAAACATTTAAAAATTTATTAATTAAAATGTCTAGGGCTCAAATCTGGAAGTTTATGATTGTTTTCATTCGAATTACGCTGGAATAAGGCAAGCTATTTTTATACTTATCAACTTTACAATTAAGGAAATCCACAGCATTTTTGTGGTATTTAAAAGAGAGACACTTCCTGTGTCTAGCTGAGTTAGGTTTTTTTTTTTTTTTTTTTTTTAGCATGGCTTGCTGAGAAACATTAACTACTTTTTTGCTCATCCATCTGATGAGATTTATTATATGTTTTTCTTATGTCTCGGGGATGTGGAAGAAGACTGAGGTTTTTTTTTCCCACCCCTCTGTGACAAAGTTACATATACATTGTTCTCACGAGCTATGTGTATGTGGGTCAGAACGAGGAAGTTTATTAACCCTGGGGGGGAAAGTTACTCATGGCGTACAGAGTGTTTTTCGTCTATTCCAGTGTACTTGGGAAGGTTGGCCTCATTTAAGATTAGGGGCTCTTGTACAGCATTGGAGTCATATGTGCCTTGAAGAAGAGCTCACTTTGTTGTTGGTTTTTTTTTTTTCTTTTTCTGCAGCTGTTAAAGAGTGAGCTCATAGAAGAGAGTTTGGAAGTATGCTAAGTAGTATATGAAAAAAAAAGGAGATAGACTATCTATCCAACCATCCATCCATCCATCCATCTATCTACCTATCTACCTACCTACCTTCCTATCATCAATCTTCCATCATTGTGTGTATACTATCTACCTACCTACCTACCTACCTACCTATCATCAATCTTCCATCATTGTGTGTATACTACCTACCTACCTACCTACCCTACCTACCTATCTATCATCAATCTTCCGTCATTGTGTGTATATCCATGTCACTATTTCCTTAATGCCTGTGCTTTTTTGCATTCGGGCTGGTGCAATAAGCAAGAGAGTAAGTGTACGCATGTGCCAAGCCCACCTGTGTGTGACAGATGACGGGTCTGTTTAGGACAGTAAAAGGGGACTGGCACTTTACTTTTCTACCTTAGACGTCCCTGGAGCCAAACAGCTGGGTAAATAAAAGATTTGCTCACTGCGCCAAAGAAGCATTTGGGTCTGATTGTTGTTACCACAGTGTCAAGATCCAGAGGTGCGGGATCCATTTCCAAACTTTGTGCACTGGTTTCAAGGTTTCACATTGGAGCAGATCACAATATAACGTCTCGTTAGTATTGTTTTTAGCCATGTTTGTTTTAGAATAGAGCCATTAAAAATAATGAGGGCCAGTGAGATGGTTTCATGACCCGAGTTTGATTCCTGGGACCCACACAATGAAAGTTGTCATCAAACATGTGTGCTATGGAATACAATTACCCCCCCCCCCCCACACACACACAAGTAAAATACAATTTAAAAAATATTAATGAAGCTGACATGGTATTAGAGAGGGTGAGCCAGGAAGACTGCAGTTCACGGATATGCGGGGCTACACTGCAAAGCCTATCTCCAAAAACTAAAAAAGAAATCATTGGAAGGAAAGATTTTTGTATATTGCTGTACCAGTGACTTGGCAAACACTTGTTCCTATTAGTCATTAAGGAATTATACAATAATCCTATCAAAGTTCATCCTGCTCCCTTTTCAAAACATCATTTTTTTTTTTTTTAAGATTTGTTTTGAAATGTGTGTGTGTGTGTGTATGTGTGTGGTGGGTAGAGGTTTGTGTATGTATGAACACAGTTGCCAACAGAGTTCAAAAGGGGTTGTTGGATTCCCCTAGAACTGGAGTTACAGTCAATTGTAGAACCCTCCCCGACTCTCTCCATCCCCTAAATCCCTGCCCTGCTCACATGGGTGCTGGGAACTGAGCTCAGGTCTTCTATAAAACAGTATTCACTGTACTCTTAACCACTGACCCATCTCATTAGCCTTCAGCACACCATTTGATGTTAAGTTGCATATTGAAGTTAATAAATTTTCTGTCACAGAAGACACATTAAGTGTCCTATATGTGGCAGCTGTCCATTCTCAGGCCCCCTTTCAGCGCTGGGAACACGATGAATAAGACCATGAATAAGCTGGGCTCTTTGAGTTATATTATTGACTTCTTCCACTTGAATACACAGGTAACTAACCATAGTAAGCCCAAGTTCACAGTTAGTTAATGAGTGTGCATGCGTTACAGGCTTTAGAACATAATGCTGTGCTGTGTTTCCTGGGAGTCGGCCTTGGCTCATATGCACTTACCTTGCTTTCTGTGACATTAAGAGAGAACAGGAATTTGTCTCTTGCAAGCAGACTCGAAGGAAGGACTGGAATTTGTTGGGGTGCATTGTATAGCGCTGGTCGGTTGAAGAAAGAAGGCACTCCAAGATGAAATTTTAAGGCCTATGTGGCAGCAGGGAGGTCCAGCCTCTTCTGATGGACTGAACCCCGAACAGCCCTACAAAGGCGTATTTATTGATTATTACACAAAGTATTTCTTCATACCATAGTCCCTAATCTTAATTTACATGTCTTACTGAAGGAGAGCATCATATGCCTTCATGACTCTAGTCTAATTATTATGTATGTATCATGTACAATACACAATAATACAAAAGCCTCAGGTGTGCCTGAGGTGTCTTGTGACCAAAGTCATGGGATGGCTGCAAAGCCCTTTCAGCAAAACAATTCTATAGATTACAGGAAACAGTCACTCTTTTCTACAAGGATTCTTCAAGGTTAAAGTGCTTCTAAAAAAACAGTTGTTCTTTCCCATATCTACCCCATACAATGATTCTGCTAAATTCCTACAACAGAAATCGCTACTAGAGATTAACTATGATTTAGGGAGGGTGAGGCAATAGTGTTAGAATTATTGCGTTGGGGGACCCCCGAGGGTATCCTGAGAATGCAGGGAACCATGCTGGCATGCTGGGCAGATGCAGCCGTGGGCTGGTAGGTGACCCACTCCATGAGGGCAGGGCAGCCCCAAGGGGCAGGATCAGAGTATTAACATTTAGAATGGAAGGAAAGGCTAAAATTGGGACTAGCAAGTAATTAAATGCTTTTGGGAGGCTGAGCTGAAGGATTGAGAGTTTGAAGTCAGCCTGGGGATCCATAGCAAGACAATAACAACAAAGTGAATGGTAATAAAATGTTTTCAATGAAAAGCGAAATGACTTGATTAAATGATCTTGAACCTTCTGACTAGACTCAAAGGTCAGAAAGTAAAAGATTAGTTAGATGAACTCTATCTTCCTCCCTTTCTTATTTATTTATTTTGGCTTTTTGAGACAGAATTTCTCTGTGTGGCCCTGGTCATCCTGGAACTCACTCTATAGACCAGGTTGGCCTCAAACTCAGAGATCTGCCTGCCTCTACCTCCCAAATGCTGGGAATAAAGGCGTGCACCACCACCGCTTGGCTAAACTATCTCTTTTAAAAAATAAATCTAGCCGGGCGGTGGTGGCGCACGCCTTTAATCCCAGCACTCGGGAGGCAGAGGCAGGCGGATCTCTGTGAGTTCGAGGCCAGCCTGGGCTACCAAGTGAGTTCCAGGAAAAGGCGCAAAGCTACACAGAGAAACCCTGTCTCGAAAAACCAAAAAAAAAATAAAAATAAAAAAATAAAAAAAATCTTTTAAATTATTATCATTGTGTTGTATGGTGTGTTTGTGTGTGGGGGGGGACACACAGTGTGCACATGAAGCTTAGAGAACAGCTTGGTGGAGACAGTTCTCCTTCCACCTTTCCGTGTGTTCTGGAACTTGAACTCAGGTCTCCAGGTTTGTGTGGCAAGTACCTTTATCTGGCCAGTCATCTGGCTGGCCCGGGATTCTTTTTAATTGTGGTAAAATAGACGGTCTCAACCTCTTTCAGTTTTGAGGGACAGGATCTTACTGTATAGTTCAGGCTAGCCTCAAACTTGTAACAATCCTGTCTCAGCCTTCTGAGAGCAAGTACCGGGATTACAGGCACGCACCACTATGCTGAGCTGTCTTAACTATTTTTAAGTGTACAAGATCAGAAATGTGAAGAACATTGTAGTAACTGCTCTCCAGAACTCATTTTGTCTTGTAAAAACTCCTATTTTTAATTCTCTGAAAAAAATCCCAGACCTAGGACGTTTTAAGAATGACAGAAATGAAATCACCGTGACAGTCTGTCAGTTTTTATTGAAGAAGAAGAAGGGAGATTGGGACAAGTCCTCAGGCAGTCACACTTTCCCTTAAGATTTGACTTGATGGATGGGGAATTTAATCTAATACACTATTTCAGCATTGCCAAAACCCACAAGAACCAAACCTCAGGCTAATAACGTGTGTATCGAACAGCTAACTGAAAATTGACTGCTTTGGGGATTTGTATTATTTTGAAAATTCATTGCCTGCCTTATGATAACCTTGTACCTAGGAATTGAGTTTGATAAGGCATCTGTTGTAAAATCTTGGCAGTGCTTATAATACCAGAGTTTGAGAAACCCCTTCTTGCTCAGGAAAGGAAGTAGAGCACCCTGCTTTTTTTTTTCTACTATTTTACTCAGTTCCATGTAATATTTTTCCAAGTGTTATGACTAATTTCCTTTGTTGAGAAGAAAATCAGCACAAATGAAATATCAAAGCTTCTCTGTGTGCGAGTAAATGAAACAACGTTGAACAGTCCTGTGCAGCATATATTTTGAGATTGTTTTATAAATAAATTTTTTAAATTAATTATTAGATTCTGTTGAAGAAGCTAATTTAAGAAGTGTAAGATAAAATGTGTTTGAACTCAAGTCCTCTCGGGAGGTATGATTGACAAGTAGAAGTTCCTACAGGAACTTAAAAGAAATATAGTTTCTGGGTATCATTTTTAGATTTATTAGGTCTTTAAAAATACTTTGTTTTGTTTGTTTATGTGTGTCTCTTTGGGTGTATGTTCAGATGTGAGTGCAGTGCCTGTGGAGGCCAGAAGAGGGAGTCATATCCGTTTGAGCTGGAGTTACAGGTGGTTGTGATCTCTCTTGTGTGGGTGCTGGAACCGAACTCTGCCCCTCATGGTTGAACTGAACGCACTCTTAACCACAGAGTCATCGCTCTAGCTCCCTTCTTTTGGCCCTTTGTGTAAAGCTGTTGTCAAGTTCATGTAGACTAAGAGCCGGCCTGCACAAATGCAGCATTGTATAATAGGTGTTGATGAAATACTTGACGTGCAATGGTGAGAAACAGTTGCTGCACCAGAACATTTAAGGTCATCCTTCCTTTAATGCTGGGCTTGATAGTCCAGGCCGTAATTCCCAGGACACTAGAGAAGAATGATGTGAGTCTGAGACCCGCCTGGCTTATATAATGAGACCCTTGCTCAGAGAAACAGCAAGCACATAGTGCTTACTGGTGAAGGATAAAAGACATAATCAGTCACCCATGGGAAATGAAAGCAATACAGATGTACAGATTGTATGTTCAGATACTCTCCAATTGTTTGATCTGGAGCCAGGCCTGGGCATGTGACAAAGCTCTATGAAGAAATATCATGAAACTCCCAATTGATCCTTGGACAGAGAAATACCAACCTCATTATGAACCTCAATTAATACCAGTGAGTTTACTTTCAGATTTTTTTTTTAGGGTAGAAAATGTCTGGTTTCCACATTAGTTTTTCAGAATGTTTTGGGGGTTTTATCAGGTAGACATTCTTTATAATAGGCCGTTACACAGATCTTGTCACTGAACAGTGGTGCTGATTTATGTGAGAAACTTAAAGAGTTGCATACTGTAGGAAACTCTTAAGACACAGTAGATGAGCTGAAGATGCTATATAGAGTCACTAAATAAAAGCCAACGAATTAACGTCAAAGTTAGAGGAAAATCAGTAGTGGATTAACTAAGAAATGTAAAGTCTGTCCAAAGCTGTGTTACACTAGAACTTAAGGACAATTTCAGGAATTTGCAAGAGTAATATTGACTCTATAAAATAATATAATCTGCCTAGTAAAATGAAAGGTCGTGTGTGTGTGTGTGTGTGTGTGTGTCTGTGTGTCTGTATTCAACAGTTCAACAGGCATGGCAGTGCAGGCCTGTAATCTCAGCAAGGCATTGGGTATGACTGTGAGTTTGAGACCAGCCCGAACTATGTTGTAGATACCAAGCCAGACAGGGTTGCATAGCAAGACCTTGTTATAGAAAACAAGTAAAAACAGGAAAATGTCATGTCGTTTTATATCCTCTTGTGTCTAACTGTTATACTTTCCTTTCTAGAGCTTAAGAAGCCACCACTGGCTCCCAAGCCAAAGTTAGTGGGGACAAGTAACAGGCCACCTCCCCCTCCCATCGCACCTAAACCGGACATCATAAATGCTAGTGTTCCACGGTTAACAAAGAAAACCAAACCGGCCATTGCGCCAAAACCAAAAGCCCTGACGAACTCAGTTGTTGAAGACATCAAGCAGTCACCCTCCCAGAAACTCCCTGTGAACCTGGAGGAACGGGGGCCAGAATTACCCGAAAGCACCGGCAAGTGTAGTTGCCAAGATGTCGGGGATCCACACGGTGATTATATTTTCCCAGCGTGTTCCTGCAGTTCTGGGTGCATTCGTGAACCTGGGAATGGAGAAAGTCTGTGTGCAAAGCAGCTTGTTCTAGAGCCTCTGGGAATGAAAGAAAATGTAGAGAATCGTCAAAATGGGGAGTCCTCTTTAGCTGCCAAGAGGAGGAATGGGTGGGATTCCAGCGGTGCAAAGGGCCGGAGCCAGAGGGGCGTGATTTTAAAGGCAGGCATCTTAGAGGAGAAGCTCAAAGAGGTCTTAACACAACAGCGATCCCCCTGTAGTTCCCCGAGGAAGCACAGATCTCCAAACAGCGCAGACATGAATGGCGACTCTTGCTGCAGCCGACAGATCAGAATTGAATTTGCAGATCTGTCCCCTAACCTGTCCAGCTTGGACAAAGTTCCTGCTCATCCCAGCTGCCACCCACAGCTCCCTAGGGATAAATCTCCAAACCTCGAGACTTGTCAAGCTGGCAAGAGCACTAGCCACTCTCATTCCTGTGAACTGGAGGACACAAAGGTGTCTTCAGATGGAACTAGTCAGAAGACAGAGGTCACAGATCTTGGTCCTTTAGAAATTCGCTTATTACCTTATACCTCCAAGTTTCCGACACCCAAGCCCAGAAAGACACGTGCTGCTCGTCTGCTTCGCCAGAAGTACGTAGATACTCCTAGTGAAAGCCCCGAAGGGCCAGAGGATTCAGACAATGGCTCTTCTTGTCTCCTTCAAGATAGTTTGAAAAACAATAAAGTCAGTGTTCTGCATCAGGATGCTTTGTGTAACCAGGGACAAGTGGACAAAGTGAAGCCAGCGGACCAAAGGGCATTGCCTAGGGACTCCAAGAGTGACGGACAGGACCCAATCAACTCCCGGAAAGCTGTGAGTCACGAAACATCTTCTTTGGAAAAAGTGGCACCTCCTCTAGGTGCAGATTCCATTTTGAGTTCTGACAGCACAGCAGACGATGGTTCTGGAATGTTACCTGCTGTGGACAAAGAGGCTAGTTTTCTACAGTGCCCTGCTCAGTCTTTGAGCTTGCCTAAGCAAGTCAAATTATCCTGCACTGAGCATCTGCCAACTACCTGTAACGTGGAATTGTCTGTGCCGCAAATACAAAAGGAACCTAAAATTGTTCCCAAGAAACCCCAGAGACACAGCCTGCCTGCTGCTGGGGTGCTTAAGAAGGCTGCTTCTGAGGAACTTGTAGAAAAAAATTCTTACTCTTCAAGTAAAGAAACAAATTCGGAGAAAGGCCTACAAAGAAACCACCTTCAGCATGTGGGTCCCTCAAACCATGGTATGTCACCATCCTCCTTTGATAAGCCCAACCCGACTTCAGAAAAGCCGGTGTGGAAGTTACCTCATCCAATTTTACCCTTTTCAGGGAGCCCAGAATCCTTGAAGCGGGTCACTTTATCCTTAAATAATGAGCCTTCTATTTCCCTAACCAAGCCAAGAGCAAAATCCTTGTCGGCTGTGGACATGGACAGGTGCGATAAGCCTTGCAAAGAACCCCCAAAGAAAACTTCTTTTAAGAAGTTGATTAACGTGAAGCTGTCCATTGGTTTCATAAAGAGTGACTTTCAGAAATTTAGGTCGAAGAGTTGCCAACAGGGGGACGTCACCACAGGCCATCTGCTCAGTAGAGAGCCGAAAGGGCTTGAAAGGGATGGGCAAGGTTTGGGGACAGGAGACGAGAAGAGAGGTAAACCCACCAAGGCATATTCTGCAGAAAACTGCAGCCTGGAGTCTCAGAAGGTGAAGTCTTGGGGCCAGACCAGTGCAGCTACTGGTCACAGAGCTGAGTCTTTGGACGACCAGCTGCTGTCCAGGAACCCATCCTGTCCAGTGTCCTACAAGTCCAGTGCGAGTGACTGTGCCCCAGAGTATGAGAATGTACGCCATTATGAGGAGATCCCAGAGTATGAAAATTTGCCCTTCGTTTTGGCCGGAGGGAAAACTCCAGAGTTGGGGTGGCAGAATTCCAGCAGTGTGGAGGACACGGATGCCAACTTGTATGAAGTAGAGGAGCCCTATGATGCTCCAGATGGCCAGCTGCAACTTGATCCTAGACACCAGCCTTCCAGGTAATACATAGGTGCCAGCGAGACCTGCACTTTGGCATGCACTGCTGTAATTAGCCTTCAACAACTCCGTGGTACGGGACTGCAGAGAGGAAAATCACTTATTGAGGAACTGATTGAGAAAGTGTAGATGAAAGCAGTTCTGTGTTCCGACTCCTTTGGTCGTACAATAGGAACGGGTATTTGCCTTGCAAATCCAAAGACTTTAAATAGCAACACTATTTTCATGTCCTTTTGATTTGTGTGGACTTTGTTTTCGTGTGACCTGCTAAGTTGAGTTCCTGCTGCTTGAATGGGTGTGAGTGAAGAGGGAGTTATTTACTGGCGCACAGACACCGTAACAAGTGGAGAAAATGGCGTTCGGTTTGAAGTGTCCCCAAGAGTTGTGGTTCTCTCTTTATTCTATACCAGGGAAAACAAGGAGCCCAGTGGTCTCTGTAGGTGTGGAATGGGCCCAGGCGAGGAGGAATGAGCAGGAGACAGAGGGAACAAACGCCATCTTCCTCCTGTCCGTGGGGCAGAGATGGCCTTTGCCTTCCGTTTGTATGCAGTCCTTCTTCTGTATTTTGAAGCCTTCAGCTTACCCTTAGGTTGCAACATGGTCTTTGAGAACTCAGGTCTTAAAATGTGACTCGTAGAGACATCCCGAGCACATAGGGACTCCGTGTGAATTAGTGGGTGAGTTAAAGAAATAAAACCGTCAAGCAGATTGGAACACGAAGTAAAGCAGATTGTTTTGAGTTAATGTTAATTTTTAGATGCTCTCGCAGTTGTTTTCTTTATCATCATCTCTACCTTTCCTCTTCTTCCCTGTGAACGGCTCCTTCCTTCCCTTGCCTGTTTTTTCTCACAGCTGACTCCGATTTATTTATATGTCTACTCCTGAATGTTAGTAGGCAAAATGTTAGAGGCAAAAACCTCTTCCTTAGCGTAAATTTTTTTACAGACTTGGCATCCAACTATTTGAAGAATTTATCTGTTTTCAAATGTGTGATATTGTACTATGAAGCAACTTTATTGGTATTTTTAACACGCTTTTGCATATTATTTATGCACGTGTGTGTGTGTGCGCTGCCTTGCTATGATAATATTTTTTTCTTGTAATGGGAGCTTGACCCTTGGGATTTGTTCCCCCGAGGGTTTACCACTATCTCTGAGGTGGGTTCTTCACTTCTGGAACTTGTTTGTCTGGTGTACTGCTGGCTTGAGGGGAAGCAGTTTGGAGGGACTAACGTAGATGGCCAGCCAGTGTAGCTGGTCAAGCATTCCTAAGGAGGGTTCTTTCTGAAGACCACAGGAAGCCAAGGGTGGCACTGGATAGGCTGCAAGCTGTCCAGGACAGTCTGGTGAAGAGTGGGCGACTTCTGCTTGAAGTTCGTGTTCCACGGAGAGTTTTGTTTAAGCTATGAACGGGGAGTCCTCAGTGGACTTGGAGAAACCTGAAATGTGCCAGCTGAAGCCATAGAGTCCGACTCAAGCCTGAGAGCTTGTTCCTTTTGTAAACTGTTGACTAGTCAGAGAAAGCAAAATGCAGCTCTTCCATGAGGAGGACCCTGGTAAAATGAAATGAGGTAAATGAGAGACTGAGAGCTGAGAAGATTCAAGTGGAAATCCTGAAGGTATGTCTGTTTGCTGAAAATGTAGCCCCGTGCCTTGGAATAATTAATTCAAAATGCAGGATCCTGGCTGGGCATGTAGTTCAGAAGTCTAGTACTTACTTGCCTAGCATGTAAGAATCTGTTTGAGAGTCGTCAGGAAAGTGTTTAAAGTGTCTCAGCCCTCAGGGAAGGGAATCTGGGTCTTCCCTGGGGCTCTGGGTTAGAATTTCACTAGCTTTGGAGTCTGGATATTTAAGCAACCAAAATTCTGGGTAAGTAAATCTATTTGGTTAACTCAGAGGTGGTTAACTCAGAGGTGTCCCAATGGTCACCTTCTTTAAAACATAGTTCATAAATCTGAACATTTATAAGTCTGTAATAACCTATTTGTCATTTATCAGGAGATACTTAAATGGTAGACTGTCCCAAATTCTGATTAGGGTTGTAGTCTTTTAGACTATTAACAACGATTGTAACTCATTCTTTTTCCCAAAGAATGGTGTTGGAAATGGAGGTAAAGGTTTTTAATCCCCTACTCAAGCTAAGAGTTACCCCCCTGCTCCAGGTGAACTTTCTTTTTTTTTTTTTTTGGTTTTTTGAGGCAGGGTTTTTCTGTGTAGCCCTAGCTGTTCTGGAACTCACTCTGTAGACCAGGCTGGCCTCGAACTCATAGAGATCTGCCTGCCTCTCCCTCCTGAGTACCGGGATTAAAGCTGAGCACCACCACTGCCTGTCCCATGTGGGACCTTCCTTGTGATCCTGTGGCTGGGGTTGGAGCATTGGCCTGGGTGGATTGATCTGTTACCTCAGAGGAATAGCCAGCGGCGACCTGTAGGTTCTATGGTGAAGCGACACGAAGAATGAGGAAATCAGGGGCAGAGCTGAATTCGCCGGGAGGGATGTTGTTAAAGGAGGGGTGATAAGGAGGGGTGGGTGGGGTGGCTGTTTAGTAAGCAAAGACGTTTTTTACTTCCTTTCCTTCTAGAATGTCTATCCCCTCTCTTTTCCCTGCCGTCGTTCTCTGTACACTGAGCTCTGCTGACGGCAGCAGCAGGAGTGAGTAGTGACTTGAGAGGGGAAGAGGGTGAGGAGAGGTACTGGGCAGCTCACTGGGAAGGATGAATGAAGAGACGGAGGAGCGGAAGGCGAAGGAGGGAGGAAGCGGACTTCTCCTGGAGACGGAAACGTAAGCTGCGTGTGTCACCATTTGCTTACTGCTCTTGTGTCTCAAAGTGGTTTCATTGGAAGGAGGATGTGTGAGTCACTCTAGAATGTTCTAGTGTTTCGGGCAGTTGTTTTGTCTACTTTTTTTTTTTTTTTTTTTTTTTTTTTTTTAAGTCCAGGATAGCCTAGAACTCTGTATAGCACAGGCTGGCCTCAAACTTGACCCCTTCCTGCCAAAGCACCTCCCCACCTGTGGAGTGCTGGGATGCGAGGATTGTAGGCTTGGGTCACCACTCAGGGCTGGGGTAAAGCCTCTCCCCAGAGTGTTTCAGCCATCACTGCCCTAAAATGGTTAGCAGGCAACAGGCATCTCTGTTGTGCTGGGTACAGGTGGCGAGTTTTCAGCTACTGCTTTTGTTTAGGAAGCTTGATTTCCTAGGGAAGGTTGTACAGTTTAGGTCATTGCTGATACCCAACTGTCGAATAATCTGCGAAGTAATAACATTCAGTTATTAGAATTTCCCTCTGAAGCTGAAGCAGGTGTCTTGAGTCTAAGAAGAAAACTTTACCTGGAGACATTCCAGAGTTTTCTTGTAATACTTTGGTTTGTTTTTATAGGCACTTAAAAAAAAAATGATGGCCATTGTATTTTTCTAAGTGATCTATTAAGGCCCTCCCTCTGATTACTTTTTAAATGGATATTAAGCATATGTGCATTCAGAGTTGAGATGAGTGTTTCTTAACTCTTCCCAGTGAGGCAATAGGTAATTAAAGTACGTGCTGTTTTTATTGACAGTTGTACTGTCTAACGGGGTACTGAAGATCACCTTGGGCTGGGGTGCAGCCCAGTAGTGCAGTACTTGCTTAGTGTGCGTGAGATCCCAGGTTCAGTCCTCAGTACAACAGAAACAGAGACAGCGTGAGAGATGGGGTGGCACGGGAGCCTGCGGCTTTTTTAACGTAGGCAGGCTCAGACTTGGCGTTCAGGAGCTGATGGGTTCTGTTTTTGTAACCATAGGAAGGGCATGTTAGTGGGACTTTGGAGGGAGAGTGGCAGACTGAAACGGAAGTAGGATTAGAAATGTGAATTCAGTCTCGGTCTCAACAGGTGTGCATTTATATTTTGGTCTTCCAGAAAAGGAATTAAAAATAAACTAAGTAGATTTAAGAATAATTTGGAGAGATGGCTCAGTGGTTAAGAGCACCAGCTGTTCTGCCACAGAACCCGGGATCCATTCCCAGCACCCACATGGCAGCTCACATCCTCCAGTTCCAGAGGATCTGGCACCCCCACACAGACATACATCCTGGTAAAACACCAGTGCACATAAAAATAAATAAGTCTTTTTAAAAAAGACTAATTTATTTTTCATTACTCTATATAACTTCATTCCTGTTGAAGACTGAATACTATCTTTGGTTGGTTGTTTCTCTCCATGTTAAACATGGGACCGGGCTTAATACACCACCCAGTAGCTTCGCAGGGCATCTGGACTGTAAATGGGCAGACCTGGCCTAGCAGATGTCTGATTGTGTGTTACCATCTGGTGGTATTGTTGAATTTTATTAATGTGATTAAACAATAAATGAACAAGCGATAAATTAATTGCACTAACGAGCAAGTTCTGTGTTGTCATGGCACAGATAAGATCATACACAACAAGGAGGTGGGGGTGGGACGCATAACATCTCAACAGCGGCCCTTTCCTGGGAGTTATTTTTAGTGTCAGGAAATATCAAATACTTGTGAGCCTCTTTAACTGCCTTTCCTGGTCACACAGATTTGGCAAATCTGTTTGTTTACATACTTACCCTATGTTTGACACCGAGGCGACAAGAGTTGGATCTTATTTCTTCTGGGTAAATATTTCCTTTTTCTTTAAAATAAACGTTAGAAATTAGTAAATTATACAGTTTTATCCAGCCATTTTTTTTTTTTTGGCCAGAGTAGATAAATTGATGTTTTGTCAAATACTGGTTTTTGAGTCATTGAGTGTCTTAGACCTTGTCTAAGGCAGGGGCTCATTCTGTAGGTAGTCCCAGCTGGCCTTGAACTCAAGATCCTTCTACCTCAACCTCTTGTGCTCTGAGATTATGGGTGTGTAGCATCATCACACTCAGCTTACTTCTAACACTTGTAGAAGCATGTTTTAGCTGGAGATTTAAGAAAACCGTGGTGCACAAGTGCAAGTGTGTGGATGTGGTGTGAATGTGGTGTGAATGTGGTCATGGCTGTAATTC